GCATGTGTACATAATTATGTACATTAAAAAAAAACTAAAAAAAAAAAACTAAAAAAAACTAAAAAATTTTCATCAGGGACGTCTTTTAAGACTATCTTATAATTTATAACATTTTACTCCAACGGGATCGATGTGTGCATGGCCCGTAAAGGTCAATCCAGACAAACTTGCATAGCGCATAAACATATTAAACATTAAGAGAATTGATTGGTCCATATGCATGTGCATAAGGAAATAGACCAATCCGTTTCTTTATGCGCATATTAATTGTTATGCACCTATGCAAGTTTGTCTGGATATAGACCTTAAAAGGATTAATAAAGGTATGTTATTTATAAAGATAGAGACAAATGGCTGAAAGTTATAAAGATAAAGACGTTGGATAAAGATAATTAATAAATGAGGATTATAATTAATAATTCTGAAAGAATTTTTGAAAAAAGAGGTAAAATTGTAAAAATTTCATTTACGGGACACCACACCGCGTACCGTGTTGCCTCAAAACTATCTTTCAACAAGTCAACGAACCTGAACGAACCCAATAGGCATTGGGCAATATAGGGCCAATAGGCATATCACATATCACATCACATCGTGCATCGTGGCCATCGCCGCTCATCACCGCGTGTTTGTTCCGTTGGCTCATAATTAACGAAACTCGTTCGATCAACGAGACAGTAATCCATAGAACCCGTTCGATCGCTTATCCTCGTTGCGATGAAACCGACAGCGTGCGTGAACTCGGCAAAATAATGTTTATAGTGTTTCACGAACTTTCGGAGTAAACCTAACCTCCTTCCTCGCATCGATCTCTGCGAATCTCTGTGGATCTGCGATCGCGTTTCGATGTCCTCGTTGCGAAGCCGAACTAGCCGAAGCCTTCTCGCGGTCGCACGCGGTATCTTCTACACAGCACGTCCCAATGATCGTCCCGCGAGTACTATGTCCGGCGAATTCAAGGCGATTTTGGTGAGGAGAAGCGTATAAGCGGAACGCAGAAAGGATGTCAAGCTGCACGAGCCTGATCCGATTGCTTAGACGACGTCTCGTTCTTGGACTCATTTTCGCCCTGTCGCTGACGTATTGTGCCTTTTCGTTGCTCCGAAATGAAAAGGCAGGTACATTTATATCGCCGAGGTCAGATTACGTCGATGATCCGGCTGGGATTGTACGGTATTGTCGTTATAACTCCTATTACAGAAGGCTTTGTCATTTTCTTTACAGAAAGGGCCACCGAATCTGGACAATGATCTCGATATGGATCCCATGATGATCAATGATAACAATAAACTGATACCTGACGATAACACTCTAGAAGAACTAAGAGCGTCTGATAAATCTCCATTGTGGCAGGTGGAAATTCTTGATCAAGCGGCTAATGATAACACAGAAGATATGGATGCATCTAATTTAAATGACAGCGACGTTTCTGCTCAGACTTGTCGCAATTCTATTCAAGTAAGCATTTGTATTAACACCAAATGTGACTGTCCAATATGAGTTGTAGTTGTAGGCAAACTACAATTGGACGCCAGTTATTTGATTTTTCGAAGAGAGAAATAAAAATTTCATTACGATTAATGAAAAATATAATTAACGCTAGAACTATCGAAGATTATACCTATTTCTATCGAAGGGATTAAAATGACTTATTTTCGAAAAAACATGATGAAGAAAAAAATGTATATTTGTATATATCTCAGTGCAATCTAAAGCGCAATTCTAAATTATGATTTATGCACATTTTTACTCTCGTATTAAAATATAGATTTCAATACTTCACATTTCAACAACTCGAAAATCAGTCATTTCGAAGAAAGCAAGTTATAAACTTTATGATGGAGCAGAACTCGACACCAGCTACTACGAATGCGCTTGTTTTACGCTTATTTGCTTGTACATACATCCCTTTCTTTTCTCTCCTTTGCTCTCTATCTTTCTAATTGTAAGACAGGTTCCGCTATATGCAATCTAGGACAAACACTGTCTTTTGCATTGACCCGTCATATTTTTTCATTTCCCGTAAACCAACACAATAGCAATACATTTCTGATAAATAGTTTGACGTATTTTGTAATATTTCTATATTACAGCAATACATTTCAGATGAAATAGTTTGCCAGGTGTCCCTACATTACATCTTGCATATGGCATATTTTGTAAGATTTCTATGTATTATACCTAGGTATACCGGGACGAATTTATTTCTAGTACTGAAAGAATCTTGAAAAAACTTCATAAGAAACTTCAGAAATGTGAATGTAATCAAAATTTTACCGACATTTTGTTGACGGGTCAAAATGACCTGTCCTATATCTTGGTATACTACATTGAAATCTTAGAAAAAACAGAGAAAACATATTTATAACCTTAATCATCTGATTTAAATAAAAGTTATGGACAACTTCAGAAATTAAGATGTTTAAAAAATGAGTAATAATTATAAGAAAATGTCAAACAAGTCATTTCGACCTTGTGTTAAGTAGCGTATTGAAATAATAACATACTGATATAAAAATGGTATTGAAGACAAAGTTATTTAATGTGATAATAGACATGCTAAACAAATTCTGTTTATTTTTATGAGTATTTCGTAATATATATTTTATTTTTATCAGGGAAGAGGCTTGATAGTTGATGATCGTGGTGTCGTATGTTTGAGACACGAAGTTCTATCGAATGGATGTTGTACGATAGAGCAGATACAGACTTCAAAAAATGAAGAGTCACTGTCTATGGCTAGAAGGGAAAGATACAGCTGCAAAACGTGCAATCCTCAAGGGTGCTGTACCATTTACGAGTATTGCGTGTCCTGCTGTTTGCATCCCGACAAGGTAAGTTGTTATTGATTCTATAAAACTGTATTTTTTTCTCATACCATATCATCTAAACCATACAAAAGTTTAACAATATCTAAAAGAGAATTATTATTTTTATCATTATCTAAATTTGTTCCAGCAAATAAAAAGTCGGAAGGACGTATTATCGAACTCTGCAAAAGTACAAAAAGACGTAGGAAGAATGCCTATTCGCAATTCGGATCGCTTTCAGATTTGTTTAGCCGCTTGTCGCACCTCGAGTTCCAGTGTGCGACACGAGAACACTTACAAAGATCCCCTCGCGAAGCACTGTTTTATCACACAACGATATCGGCGCAACATTAATTCATTAAATAATAACGGCGACAATCTCGCCGTTGTCGTTACTTCTTCTTCTGTAGTGACGTTACTTGCCTACCCCTCTCCCGAATATTACCCCTATTTACTCAACCCCACATTATCTGCATCGGTCTTATGCTAACGTTATCTAATTATTACCATCATAAAATAATAGCCGTCGTGATACAATATAAATCAATAGTTTGATGTATGTACAACTATTTTTAATAAGAGGATTGAAGACCACGCACGAGCGAGGATTTGAAGCGCCATATGTCCGAGTATGTCATCTGTATGGTAGGATATTTTTTCTTCATTAACTCTAAAACCTCATTCCTGATGGTGTCCTGAAGTGGATCGTCCTAAACAAAAACATGAACACATCTTATTCGTTACATTTCTCAAATTCGCGTTTTCGGTTCGCGATAATAAACTGGCAATTACTTATTGTCTACGTACATCAATAATATTACATTCGGCTGCTGCGTAATGACAGGAAATTGCCCGTCTTGTTCTCTGGGATTTGTTAATGCCGGATCCGTGAATGAGCAACGGATGGAAGAATACCGTGTCGCCGGGTTGCATCTCGAGATTCACCCAACGATTGAACGCCGTAGGCAAATTCTTCAGTAAAAGTAAAATGTTAATTAAGAAACGATTAACACCTCAGTAAATAAGACGAACTAAGGAAATATCTTACTTGTATGCCATGATAAAACTTGTTCACCGCTCCCTCAGGATAATCATGCGGGAACAAGTTCCCTACAATGTGTGTTCCAGGCGATACGTAGAGACATCCGTTTACATTATCGCAGGGTTCCATGGCTGTCCATGCAGCTACTATACGATCGGCTGGTCGGAACGGAAAGTAATACAGGTCTTGATGCGGCGGGTGCCTAAGAGAACACGTCACGTTTGTTAGCCGCGTTGTATCAAATAACTACTGATAATTCAAGATTTTTTTAACGATTACTTCGAACTTCCAAATCCTACATCGGGTGGTTTTGCGATGAGCATACTATGAATCGCCAAGATGTTTGGTCCCGTAAAACACTCAACTATGTCGAGGATCTTCTTATGCTCCATATAATGACGGAATACTGAGTCCGTATGTATATCCTGTATCTTATTTACCGATTTTCTGTCCTTTACATCATACATCACTGTTATTCCATCTCGTGGAATCTTGCCTTCGATGACTTCATCAAATCTAAAAAAGAATTAAGAGTACATAACGTTTAAGACGGATCCTTCGATCCTTTTTCAATGTGCATAATATCGAGACGCGACTAACCATTGAAATTCGCGCACGTGATCGATACCCGTAAAAACGGAATATCGGCAATTTATTGTGTACCGATATTCCAGATATTGAATAATTGATCATCTGTGACATTATAGCCATAGCCAGTCGCAGTATTTGCGCGCACGTTAATATCAGTCAGCAAATTTACCGAAACATCGAACATTTCAATACACTGCTAGATTACCGAGTTACTCCTAGTATGGGCTGTCCACAAGATATATTATTCCGATTTATTTGTGCAGCAATTTGCAATTTAAAGACTTTTTAATACGTGCGCATCTACATACATTGAATAAACATATCACTTTATGCGTTTTGCCATGGTGGAAGCTTCCACCATGCGTTTTGCAAAAAATGCAATGGTCAAAGGAACGCTAGTAACCTCTATATATGTGTGTGTGTGTGTGTGTGTGTGTGTGTGTGCGTGCGTGCGTGCGTGCGTGCGTGCGTGCGTGCGTGCGTGCGTGCGTGCGTGCGTGCGTGCGTGCGTGCGTGCGTGCGTGCGTGCGTGCG